AACAGAAACATAGCTGAGGTAATGGAAATTAAGTTCTAATTTGATTTCCAGCTGCCAGTAATTGTTGTGGCTTCAGTGAAGTGATTTCCAATTTGGAAATGTATATTAATATCAGTAAATATGGATTTCAACCCATTCCTTAAATCCAGTGGATTAATTTTTTTTGTGATTGCATTCTTACAATTATATGTTATCTCACTAATGCTCCAAGAAACTCAGGAGGCATTGTACATTTTCCCTTTTATGTACTCAAAACAAATCACAGAATTGTGCAGTTGGAAGGAACCATTTAGTTCACCACTTGCTCAGTGCAGGAATCAAAATTAAAATGTCCAAACAGATGGTGTCTATCCTCTGCTTCAGAACAGCCCAGTGTTTTTCAAACTTGGCAACTTTAAGATGTGTGGACTTCAACTCCCAGAATTCATGCTGGCTGGGGAATTCTGGGAGTTGAAGCCCACACATCTTAAAGTTGCCAAGTTTGAAAAACACTGGTACAGCCTATGAACATGAATATGTCACCTTGCCAGGTAATTGGTCCACAATTCATGCTGGCTGGGGAATTCTGGGAGTTGAAGCCCACACATCTTAAAGTTGCCAAGTTTGAAAAACACTGGTACAGCCTATGAACATGAATATGTCACCTTGCCAGGTAATTGGTCCACTGTCCATCTGCTTTACTATTAGGACTTTTCTAACATTCAATTGGAAAATATGACTTTCTGTCATTTAAATCCATTATTCTATGCCCTGAACTCAGGAACATTAAGTGGTGAATCTTTTCTGTGTAACATCTATTCAGATATTTCAGGAATGCTATTAGTCTTCTTTTCAAAACTAAACATGTCCAGTACCTTCAATTGCTCTTCATAGGACTTAGTTTCTACTCCCCTGATCATCCAGATTGCTCTTTTCTCTGTTACAATATGGTGTCTCAAAGTGAACACAGTACTCAAATTTGGGTCTGATTAACATTGTAAAGGTAGAGCCATTCTTTCATGTGATTTGGAAACTGTACTTCTGCTGAAGCACCTAAAACTGCCTTTGCCTTTTTTGAATCCACATTGCAAACTGAATACAAGTCAACAGTATCATCAACTATTATTCCAAGATCTTTTTCCACATGTACTACTGCCAAACCAGTAATCCCCAGTCTATACCTAGGCTTTTGACTTTTGTAAAGAAAGTTGAGTTTATTCTGGTTAAATTTCATTCTGTTATTCTTGTCCCATTTATCTAACCTTACAAAAGTATTCTGAATTTTATTTCTGTCTTCTTGAACAATAGCTATCTCCCCATTCCCATCTTGTACAGTCTGTAAATTTAATAAGCATCCACCTCCATCAATAAGAGATTATATTATATATTATATATTTGTATTATATAAATATATATAAAATATATAATTATATTATATATTTATTTTTCAATTATTATATTGAATAAAGGACCCAGACATCAACATTATGGTACTCCACATGATACCTTTCTCTGGCTTGTTTAGGAACCACTGAAGGGCACCCTTTGGAGTAGATAGCTCAAGTGGAATAGATGAAGAAGGAGTTGGGGAAAGAAAGTACACAACAAGGCAGAAGATGAACAGTGAAAAGTGGGGTGGACAAAGGACTGGACCATGGAAACAGCTGTAGATTATGAAGGAAAGTCAAAACTAGATGCTGAACTTTAGAAGGGGACAGGAATACCCAGTTCTAAAGCTGCATGATGCAATGGGCTATGGTAATTTGAAACTATGATATTGAGCCTGGGCCTTTAAATTAAGAAGGGGGCATATTTCCCTGAATGGTGAAATAATGCGGGATTCACAAACAGTTGTCTTTTAAATTCCCAGGTGCAAGCCACTGAAAGGTTTAAGGCCAAGACCATATTTTGAGTTGATCCTAGACATGAACATGTTAGCCAGTAAAGATTTTTTTTTTTTAATTCTTCAGTTAAACATTATTAGTAGATGTTCCCAAGGAATTATTCAAACCAGTTGCAATTGTTGGCAGTTCTACTTATATGACATTACAGGACCACTACAGGTAGCTTTAACAGACTGAGAAAAAGGGACACTATTGTTAGACCAGTAGTAGCTGATGGAAGGTGAGTCTGAATAAAATCTAAATACCCTGTTAATGCAGAGCCTGAAAAATAAAATCTCCCTTGAACTGAGTGGGTTCAATTACTCCATTAGTAAGCAGCTATATACTTTCTGCTCTATGTAGTCATGCTTCAGATTTCTGCAAGTAATCCCAAGTCAGCCTTAACCTTTCTGTGCAAGGAGAGTGCTTATATTTTATGTCAACTGAACAAGAGACAATGGCTGGGCTCAGATGTTACACACTAAGCCACATTTTTAAACTCTGGTTCCTTAAATCAGCTACAATTGTCAGGGTTAATATATCATAAACCACAGTTTATAAATCACAATGACTGAGTGCATACAACCTGCTAAACTGAAACTAAACAAACCACATTATGTTTTAGCCTAATGAATAATCCCATTCTGTCCTTTGCCACTTCACTTTAGGATTATGTATCTTTCTGGCCTTTTTTCATAGTAATGTATATCCAGGAACCTTCAGCCAAAAATCCATCTTGCTGTTATGAGTCTTATTAGAGTGGGGCTGAATTTCTAAATATGGTTTCTATTATAGCTAATGCTGTGAGATGGGAAAAGGGTAGGACAAATAAAACAACAAAATTGTGCATGACACAATCAGCACCAGGATGTCAACCTCTAAAGAAGAAGAATGTGTCCAAGTCCCAATTTTCTTTAACCTGGGCCCCAGATGTCTTAGGACTCCAATTTCTAGAGTTCCAGTCCTCCTGGGAAGACATCTGGAGGACACCAGGACGCAGAAGGTTGCTTGCTATATGCATTTCAGAGTCATAGTATTCTATTCATTTAAAGGTTTTAAAATCCATTGATAGTGTAACTATAGTTGAACAGTGCCACGATGCCTTTCTAGCTCAGTGGTAGCTAATTCATCCCTATTCTTCAGTGGCCTTTGAGTACATGGAGTAAGGATTAAAAAAAAAATCTTCTGGCGCTTCACTCCAGATTATTATAATTCAGTAACCAGGAGACAATGAGGTCGAGATGAGACATGCATCACTAAGCACGGCTTCAGATTTTTGTCATTCATTATTATTAGTAACAGAAGGTTGTATGACTAAATCTGTAGTCTGTTGTGGTGGGAAGCTGGTTTCAAGAACAGTGTTTTGAGTTGCACCAAGTCAAATTTAACTTTTTTCTCCCCTGTCGCAGTTCCAAAGGAAATGTTCTTACTCTGCACGCTACTATTAATCCTAATAATAATATGCTGGGAATATTCATCTGGATGACAGTAGTAGTAGAAAAAGTGGCTGAGTTATATTTTAAATTACTCATTAACAAAATACCTAATTGTGTCATCAGTGTTAACTTCCACATATTCAAATCCCTTTAAGAAACCTCCTGGGAAGTAATACAAGTATTTGTTGGATCTGATACTTTGTGGTTTCGTGATAGAAAATTAAATATTGTTTCTGAAACATCATTTAATTCATGAAACCACTTTACACTGTATCTTTAGATGCCATTCCAACATCGATTAAGCAATGTCATCAAATGGGACCTCAGAAATGGGCTTTCTCTGTTGCTGTGCCTGCCCTTTGGAATAGCGCCCCTCTTGGAGATCTGCATGGTCCCCACCTTGCCCACCATTAAACATTTGTTAAAAACCTAGGTTTTCCCTCAGGCCTTGGGTTAAGGTGGATCGATGGGCTCCTTGAGGTGGTGAGGGGTATAGAGGGATGGTCTTGTTCCGTCAAACAGTTGCTATTCTACGGAAGTTTGTTGTTTGTATGTCACTATTGTTCTTTTGCGAAGAGAGATCTCTTTGGAGAAGACCCTGATGCTGGGAAAGATTGAAGGCAA